TGGGCAGTAGTTCATTTACCCAGCTGATAAAGAAAACCTCCCTCTAAGATGTGAATTCATCCTAGCAGAAGAAGAATACCTAAGAATGTCCAGAATAAACTTAGAGTAATACTCCAATAGAAGTATTAAAGGGGTGAATTGTGGGAGAAAAATCAAATAACTCCAATTGTGTCTAAGGGTGGACTATGCAGGAAATCAAAACTCTCTAAAAGAAAACTGCTGTAAGGGTTAAAAGTTGTCCAGGCCTCTCTCTTTCTCTCTGTAACAGAGAAATCATCTTAACTCTAATCAAGACCCTTACAATGCCTCCTATCTCAACTTCATGGAGACTCCTAGTCTGTCACAAATTGTCATGTAAACTCTTATCTTTGTCACAGTTTGCCTTGTAGACTCCTCACTCAAGTTCTCATGTGCCTTTGTACTGTAAACTTACTTCTAGCACTTCTGGTGTGAACAGAAACATCTCAGAGTACCTCTGCTGAGACTTTGATATGTTAAAGAAAGCAATCAACAACTAAACTGTCTGAACATACTGTATAAAGGATCCCTGAAACTCTCTCTCAGGGCTGCTGCTGCTCTCACTCTGGTAGCTGTCAGCCTGCATGCATGCATACTAAAGTTTTCCTTCTAGATTTCTCTCCTGCTTCACTGCTTTGACCTCCTGCCTTGGACCCTTCTGGGGACTCTGTACCCCAGGGGAGCGAGATTTCCCCAACAATTTGGTGTCAGAAGTGGGATGGCTTGGAACTCCAGTTGGAAAGGCTGATGATGGGGAATGGGAACAGACTACAGCGTGCACCTGGAGGGTAAGGGATCCATTTAAAATCCCCCAGTCTGCCTCCCTGTTCTGGTCACCAGCTGGACCGGCTGGCGGGAAGAGTCATCTTTTGCTCCAAAATTTTCTTTAAGAGGCTTGAGGGAGATTTAAAAAAAAAACCACATCTGATCCCTTACCCTGTGTCTCCATGTGACCTGGGCTATTGGGGTGCTGTGGAGGGGGGAACTGCAGGTAACGTAAATATAAAAATCTGAAATCCAGAAAAGGGAGAGTTAAGATACACATGACCCAGTATGTGGGGCTAAGTTGTGGGAGGGGGCAGGGTTCTGCTGTGGACCAGGGGTGCATTGGATGGCCATGGCTGTGGAAGCCTGGCTCAAGTAGAGGCAGCAGAAGGTGGATTGTGGAAATAAGGGGCCTAGCTCAGTGTGAAGCTTGGGTTATGGTGAATACGGTTCTACATGTGGTAGGTGAGCCCAGCAGCATATATCAAATGGCCAGGTACATGGATCTGCACTAACAACAAATAGATGAGTGGGATGGAAAAGGGAGGGGAGATTGATGTACGAGGGGGCTCTATGTTATGAAATGACGTGGCAAGTGGTGGTGATGGAGACAAACATACCAATCTCCTTTCTCACATTTTACAGCTCCTGGGACAGTCATGTCATAACCACGTCAAAGTCATGGACGTGGGACATGGAACATGGAGGAGATTTCTGTCACGGGCATAATCTTAAAAAAACCAAATAACAAAAATCTCTTGCAGCAGCTTAGAGACTAACAAAATATATAGATGGTATATTGAGCTTTCGTGGGCACAACCCATTTCTTCAGATTAATTAAGTTATGCAGTCCAGGGGACAAATAAATAGCAGAGAAAGAGATATTTGTTGTTTTTTAAGTTTATTCAGTTAGGGTAAGTCTACACAGTAGAGTTATTTTGGAATACTCTCTGTTTTGAAATAACATGAGCCCGTTATTCCAAAATAAATTTGAAATAACAGGCTTCTTTCTTTGACTTCCTGTAAACCTCAATGTACAAGGATTAAGTAAGGCAGCTGTCACATTACTGAATTTGAGGGAAGCAGCCAGATCACTGACTTTTGAGCCAGCAGCTGTAACATCTCTGCTAGAGCCTGCATCGAGAACTGGGAGATTCGATGCATGTAATGTAGTATCCTTTAACAACCTTACTCTCATGCTTTTCTTTATTGTAATAATAAACCTTTAGATGTTAGATGCTAAAGGATTGGCTCAGTGTGATTTGTGGGTAAGATCCAGAGGGTAAATTGACCAGGGATCTGTGGCTGGTTTCTTGGACCTGGACAGAACTTGTTTGGGGTAGGCGGGTTCTAAGACCCCCCACCAGTGTATGAGGCCCGGGGCCATCTGGGGCACGGATATTGCTGGGGTGTCGGAGGGGTTTTGCTCGGGAGGCTTCAGGCAGGCTGCTGAAGTGCTCTGTGGGACTGGTTTGTGGCCTGTTTGGAAAGGTCACCAGTCTGGGGGCTGTAAGGAGCCCCGAATTTGAGGAATTCGCCCTGAGCGGTTGCCCTCAGCGGTGCCTAGACACGGCCTGGTCCGTCACAGTGGCGTAGTCGGCAGGATCCACAGATCTTGGTCAATTGTGGGTTGGATCAGGACCCCACACTGTCTAAATTTGATTTTTGATGTTGAGAGTTTGGTTGGTTAAAGAGCTACTGCAATGAGCCAGGGACTATATGAGAGTCTGGGCAAAAGTTGTCTGAAGGATTTGTGCTTGGGGAGAGGCATTGCCTTTAGGAAGAGGGCCTCTAAACTAGAACTGGAATTGTTGTTTCTAGCCAGAGATATGGCTGAAACGGAGCAGAAGCGAGCCAAGGAAGCTGCTGAAAGAAGGCAGAAGGCAGATGAAGAAATTGCTAGGAGAAAGCAGGAGCTGGATAGGGAACTTGAAAAGAGAAAAACAGAACATGCAGAGAGAATGGCAGAGCATGCAGAGAAGATGGCCCTAGCCAAGGAGGAAAATGCTAGACTTCAACTTCAGCTTAAGAGTCTAAAAGAACAAGAGAGACTGTCTCCTTCTGAAGGTTCAATGTATAACTCGGTGGGTATGGGGTGTGCTTATGATATGGCAGGGGGGTTAACCCCAAAGCATGTATGAATGCAAACCGTTTGTGTTACCTGTAGCTAACAGGGACGTTTGGGAAGGGGGTGCATGTGTCTATGGAAAGTTTCCTGGAGCTGGTCAGTCTTACTGTAATCAAAGGGAAAGGGTCTCTAAATGTGTGCCTGTGGCAGATAGCTGTGTGTCTGTGCAGGGGGGCAGTGAGCCTGTGAGTGAGGGACCCAAGGGCCTGTCTGATGCCTCAGAGGTGAGGCTGGAATCAGAAACAGGGCAGAAAGGCCCCAGAAATGAGGAAAAAGATAAAGTCTTGGGGGATGAGGAGTTGTTGGCTGGTGAGGCTTGTGAAATTGAACCTGCACAAGCTGAAATTGAGTTGTGTGAAGAAGCACAGCGTGTGCAAGCTGGCAATTTGGCTGGTGAAAGTAGCAAGGGGGCAGTAAAGGAAGCTGTCCCAGTGGCTAGCTGTATGCCTGAGATTAGCCAGGGGTGTTGGGATCTGTCCGTGTGTGGGGAAGAGTTTCTTCCTTTGTCTGAGGAAGGTGCCCCACAGCCTGTGATGGCTGAGAGCAGTGCTGTTGTCCCTGACTTGGGTCTGGATATGGCTAAGGCCCAGGAAGGGGGTGGCCCAAGGTTTGTATCTGCTGGGGAGTAGGAGGCTGTGACCTGGGTAGATCCAGGCAGTATTTTGCCAGAACCCCAGAAATCAGGCAGTGGTGACCCTGATATTGTGCCTGATGCTGCTGTGTGGCTGGAAGAGGGGGGAGCAACTCTGTGGGACCAGGGTGACCCTTTAGCCCAGGCACAAGGAGGGATTGAGGGCATGTTAACTCTGGAGCCTAATGGTGGTGTGGAAGTTTACAGCCATCTAGAGAGCTGCAAAGGGAGAGAAGGTGCCTCTGACCTTGTATCTTGTGAGTCTGTCTGTGTACTTGAGAGGGGATTGTCTGTGGATCCACTGGAGGGGCCAGAGATGACTCAGGGAGTAAGGGAAGTGCAGGAGGAGTTGGTTGGGGCTCAGCCGAGCAATGCTGCTGCTGAGCCAGAGAAGGGTGAACTGTTGCTTAAGGAAGCTTATAGGGAAGAGAGTCCTGGCAGTGCTTGTAGCAAGCAGGTTGCAGTAACTCAGGGAGGTGACAATGCCTGGCTTGGAGAAGGTATTCAGGAGAAAGCTCCGCCTGTAAAAGGCAGCAGCCTGTTGTGTGAGGCACTTGTTGCAGTGCCTGAGGGACAGAATTTGTCCGTTAGCAGTGACTCCACTGACTTGGATGTAGACAAATCCAGTGTGGATGGTGTTGGAGAGTTTTCAGAGGGACGGAGGGTTGTTCCAGATGAGGCAGGAACAGCCAGAGAATTGGAGCAGGCTGATGACCAAGTGACTGTGTGTGACCAACTTGCTGGGAAGCCAGTGTGTGTGGGACAGGATTATTCCCAGGTGAATGAGGAGAGTGGGAAGTTAGTATCTCAGATTCAGGAGAAGGGCTGTGTAGCTAAGTATGCAGAGCAGAACAGCTGTGTGGTCACTCTCTCTAGGATGCAGGAGAGGGCAGTTAAGCTCCCATCTCTGGACATGGTGGAGCTTAACCCCCACCCGTGTATGAGGCCCGGGGCCATCTGGGGCATAAATATTGCTGGGGTGTCGGAGGGGTTTTGCTCGTGAGGCTTCAGGCAGGCTGCTGAAACGCTCTGTGGGACTGGTTTGTGGCCTGTTTGGAAAGGTCACCAGTCTGGGGGCTGTAAGGAGCCCCAAATGTGAGCAATTCGCCCTGAGCGGATGACCTCAGCGGTGCCCAGACACGGCCCGGTCCATCACAGCAGCAGAATAGCGATTTATTTTGAAATAAGTGCTGTGTAGAAGCATCAAATTTTGAAATAAGCTATTTCTAAATAAGTGATGCAATTTGCATAGCTCCAATTGCGTAGCTTATTTTGAGGTACCTTCTGCTGTAGATGTACCCTTACAGACTAACACGGCTACCCCTCTGAAACATTTCAAAGCATGACCATCATTCCTATTGTCCCGTGTCAAATGTGCAGGAGCAGGAAGAAAAGGATGGTGATGGAAAAGAAGTATGAAAAAACCCTCCCCCACATGCTAATGAAAACACTCACACATTTGTTTGCAACACACCACCACAACCAGTTGCTTTTATTGAAAGAAGAGTAAGAAGTCTGAAAATATGATACAAAGCTCTCTTGTGGATTTTCTCCAAGGGTTTTAGAAGCAAGTGGTTGTCTCCCAGATTCCCAGAGATGCTGCATTGACAAACTCTGCCGCCTTCACTCATTCCAACCCTGTGTTTATATCTAAAGAAAAAGAATAATATGATATTACATTAGGAATGTAGGTGGGAAAAGTGAGCAGAGATATTCCTGGTTAGCTCCAGAGCAGGGGAATCTTTGTCCCTATGCAATGTTCTCGACACATAATTTTAATAAAAGTGGTTGCATACGTGCAAGAATTCAGGGAGGAAAAATGGTCGCAGAGAACTGCGGAAGGATTAACACAGTACTTGTCTTTGTAAAGGGGACCAAAGAAGATCTGGAGAATTGTAGCCCAGTCAGACTAACTTCACTACTTGGAAAGTACCAATAAATAAATAAATAAATAAATATTAAACAATTAATCTGTAAGCACTTAGAGAATATTAGCCATCAGGGAGTTCTCTGGTATAAATCAGACCAAACCAACCCATTTTCCTTCTTGAATGATCACTGTCTTAGTGGATCAAAGGGAAGATGTGTTAAGGTATGTAACAATTAATAGGTCTGAAATGGCTCTTCATTAGTAGTTCAGGGATCAGCTACAGCATTACCCTTTAAACAAGCTTTTTCCTTTTGTTTTGTAGTTTGGAAAGATAGCTTAAGGGTCTGGTCAAAAGCAGTATTATCCTTTCTGATGTATTAACGTGTTCTCTCTCTTCATTTTTGTAGCCTAGGAAACCAAATAAACATGCAGTTGTTCTATTTTGTTATGTCTCTTACTTATCCTCATTGGCTCTGCAGAATATCTTCAGGGTCAAATTCCTTGTAATCTCTATAATCTGTTAGTTTGTAATATAGGAAAGTGTTGATTAAATTAGAAATTATATAAATAGTAATTAGAGGTGGGTATAATTGTATTATGGAAACAATAGATCAGGAGTAACATTAGTTCGGACTAAGGGCTTTAGTCCGAACTAATGCGTCCCGGCGCGCACTTCCTGGTTTGAATCAGCTGTGATTCGAACTAGCGCACCGGCGAGATCATGTTAATGGAGGGCGGGATATTTAAATCCCCGCTTCATTAACTACTTCGATTGTCTCCATTTGCATCCCTAGTTCGAACTAGGGATGCAGTGTAGACATACCCTATGTGATAGGATCCTTCCACCGGAGAGTGGGGCCACGGCATATATAAACAATGAGATATTTAAAAGGATAAGCCTTGATTAGATACCAAAATGTGATTATTTGGGTTGATCTTTGCACATGCAATCGTTTAATATTGGAACGTGGCAGACCTCCTTCCCCTCCCGTGCCCTGCATGCACACCGTTTAGGTAGCTAAACACTTGGGTTGTGTCTAGACTGCATCCCTTTACGGAAAAGGGATGCAAATTAGACACATGACAATTGCAAATGAAGCGGGGATTTAAATCCCCCCCGCTTCATTTGCATAAAAATGGCTGCCGCTTTTTTCCGGCTCGGAGCCTTGCTGGAAAAAAGCGCCAGTCTAGACGCGGATCTTTTGTAAAATAAGGAATAAGGGATCTTTCGGAAAAGGCTTTATTTTCCGAAAGATCCGCGTCTAGACTGGCGCTTTTTTCCGGCCAAGCTCTGAGCCGGAAAAAAGCGGCAGCCATTTTTATGCAAATGAAGCAGAGGGGATTTAAATCCCTCCTTCTTTTTCAATTGCGATGTGTCTAATTTGCATCCCTTTTACGGAAAAGGGATGCGATCTAGACACAGCCTTGTACTTTTGTGATCTAAGCAATAAAGTTCTAAAGTTGCTGTCTATCTGCAGAATACAGCCCTGTTGCTTTAAGGTTCACTGCAGACTTGTGCAAAGAAGTCATATTCCCCATGCTCCCATCTGGAAACTTCACTTTTATTCTTTCCTGTTGCTTTCCTTATAGTAAAATAAAATAAGAGCATAGATACAGAGGAATCTGGCCACAGGCCCTGCCTGTATTATGCTGCTCTCATGATGAACAGTGATTCTGAAATCAAGTATCAGAGGGGTAGCCGTGTTAGTCTGAATCTGCAAAAGCGACGAGGACAGTCCCTACGTAAAAGAATCAATGGACACAAATCTGATATTAGGAATGGCAACATACAAAAACCTGTAGGGGAACACTTCAATCTTCCTGGACACACAATTGCAGATCTAAAAGTAGCCATCCTGCAGCAAAAAAACTTCAGGACCAGACTTCAAAGAGAAACTGCTGAGCTACAGTTCATCTTTAAGTTTGACACAATCAACTCTGGATTAAACAAAGACTGTGAATGGCTTGCTAACTACAAAAGCAGCTTCTATTCTCTTGGAATTCACACCTCCAGATCAGCTGCTAGAAGTGGGCCTCATCCTCCTTGATTGGATCCACCTGGTCATCTCCAGCCTGATCCTGGCCTGCATATTTATTCCTGCCTCTGGAAATTTCCACTACATGCATCTGACGAAGTGGGTCTTTGCCCACGAAAGCTTATGCTCCTACACTTCAGTTAGTCTATAAGGTGCCACAGGACTCCTCGTCGCTCTTTCAGTGATTCTGAAAGGGACTCGGAAGGGTTTCATGAACGTATGAACAATCTTTGACTGAGATAATTGTCTCTTTTCTACCCTCTTTGCAAGTGCTGTTGTAAGAGCTGCACTGGAGATAATGTTGGGTGTTATCAGGCCTCAGAGGGGGAAATAGTTATCGACTTGTTCCTCAACTTGTGGACTAGCCAAGAAAGAGGGATCAATAAGACAGTTTTAATATACACAAGGGCCAATCTAGTTCCAAATTAGTCCAGAATCAAGGCAGCACAGAAGCCTCTTTTACTCCCCTTCTTCTCCCTCTCCCCAGCCATCCTGTGGACATGAAGCTTACAAGAGAATTAAACAACAACTGACATATAGAAAGGAGAGGAACAAATATTGCTGTTCTCACAGTGGTATTTCCCGTGTGGAATCTTGAACTTACTCATCTACAGCAAATGCTCGACCAGCAGCAGCGTCCAACGGGACGCCGAAAAAAGGGGCACCGCCAACTGTAGCACCGTCCTCCTCTTCGCAAACATTGCCAGGTAGCCTCGGGTCTACAACGTCCTGCATAAAGAAAGACTCTTGATTTTCATTCACACAGTAGGGTAAAGAAGAACTGCGAGTGCAGGAGGACAGGTATTTCCCAATCAACCAAATCAACAAAATGCACTTCCTGTACAACATTGTGTTTGATGATTCATAATACTTCAATGTCTGTAATTCTGTGCACAGACAATGGCAGACTTTATCAGTGATGATTTCATGTTCTCGTCCATGTCCATGTTGAATACAGTAGGGCTAAAAATCAGCTCCTGATGGACTCCATTTGACTGAATGCTGGAGATATTTTCACAGCTCATTGTTCAGTCACATCTGAATGGACGTTTACAGGAACATCACAGGCACCTTCCTCATCCCAGGACTCTTTCACAATTAAATTTTGAGTATCTGCTGCCAGACATGTAAGCATTAGAGCTCTTTAGAAAGAGATTTGGGACGCAAAACCTTTTAAGCATTGTTAGTAGATGCTCCAAAATATCCTTCTACAGTCTCCCCACGTTACATTAAAATCTTACCTTGTACACCAGCTTGCATCATGAGGAAGAGGACAGCAAAAAGAAGGTAAAGGATCTTCATAGCTGACGTTTGGTTGGGAACTCAAAGTCACTGTAGAGAAGAGATGCTGAGACAGAAAGAAGAAGGAGATTCTCTCTATTTATAGGGTGTTGACGATTGAAATATGGATTAGTCTGTTGAAATGTTGTGATGCAAGTGACATTTATGAAGGATGCTGCAATCTGTTAATTACAAGGATTATTAGTTGTGCAGCACCACCAAGATTGCTGGAGAATTTCAGGCCCTGCAATTGACAAGCCCCTGCCTTGAGAAAGTTCCAACATGAGTATTCATATTGGGCAAACATCTACTGCCTTCTTGAAAATCCTCCAGTTGACTATAAGAGGGAGTCTAGGGGAGAGATCACATGCAGAATACAACTCTACCAGGGAAATGTTTGGTAGTAGGTGTGTGCATTTGTGTAGTTGCTTTGTACAATTTTTAATCAATATGTGATGAGTATTTAGGGAATTTTCTGAATTTCATGCATAAAAACCCGTGACAGAGAGGTTTAAATGGTTTTTTTAAAAGGAAAAATAAAGTTAGTTACATTGAAAATACTCTGTGACCGGAATGTAGAATTTGTTCTGTTGTGTGATGTTTTCTGCAAATTTAAACTGAAGGATTTTCTGAAAAGGTAAATGGAAGACTTTTATATCTAGTGACTAGCCAATTAGCCCATCTTAAGACGGGATTTTCAGTTCTGTCCTGCATGTCCGTCTTCTCTCCTGAGCCTCCAGTCTCTCGCTCCATCTCTCTCTCTCTCTTCTTCTCCTACTGCCTCCCCCCTTCTCTCGGCTCTTCTCCACCTTCTGCCTCTCTCTCCATCTCTCTCTTTCTCTTTTCCCCCTCCTGCCTCTCACTCTCTCTCCGCTCTCCTCTGTCTCCACTGGAGATGCACGCTCGTCCAGGCCCCGCCTCCTGAGCATGTACGTCACCGCCTTGCCCCCCTTCGTTTCTCGCCGTAGCGCTCGGCTGGCTTCTGTGCCACTCAACCGGGCCGCTGCACAGGAGCAAGCGGTGCAAATGGCCATTCTCTCTCTCCTCCTCCTACTGCCTCGCCCTCTCTCTCACTCAGCTTTCGTCTGCCTCCTGCCTCTCTCTGGGGGTATGTCTACACTAGCCCCCTAGTTCGAACTAGGGAGGCTAATGTAGGCATTCAAAGTTGCAAATGAAGCCCGGAATTTAAATATCCTGGGCTTCATTTGCATCTTCCCAGGTGCCAGCATTTTTAAATTTCCCTTAGTCCGAACTCCGTGCCCGCGGCTACACGCGGCACTGAGTAGGTAGTTCAAATTAGGATCTCTAATTCAAACTACCGTTACTCCTCAGAAGTCAGCCGAGCGCCACGGCAGGAGGCAACAGTGCCTCCCAAAGGGAACAGCCAGTGTTTCAGCGTTACAGAGACACAGAAATTGGGCGACTATATTTATGATTGGAGGAAGTCGTGAATAGTCTCTCCACTCCTCCCCCATCAGTTTTAAGTATAATAGTATGAAGTAGCAACATAAAATACTAACATATCAAACATGTGACCACCAAATGCACCCACATGCGATAAACAACTCTCTTGCTTTGTCCCAAGAAGGGGTAAACTGCATTCAGGAAACTTTTAAAAAATGACTATGGTGCTCTCATGAAGTTTTGATACCACAATATTTTTGTGGGGACACATTCTAATCAGGGCCCAGAAATGGCAAAATGTGTGTGTCGATAAAGCTTCATAACTCTCTAGATAACCTCCTTCTGGTTATCACTTTCTTCCATCCCTCCATTTTTTGGCCCATCTACAGATACAAAATGAAAACTGTTGAGTGGAGGGGACCAAAAATGACAATCCCTGAGCCCTTCAGCAAGATGGAGAGAGAGATTACAAGGGC